TCAAAGGATCTCAAGGTAGTACACATACTAGATAGGGCAGAACTTATTGACTAAGAGTATAGTGAAAAGTGATGGACACAAGTTGAAAGGTTTTAGTAAGAAACTGTATTTACCAAAAGTCTTTTTTGAAAGTAAAGCAACAGAGATTGTTTGGAAAAGATATTAGAGTAGTTCACAAAGTCCAAGCACCTTAGGATAGGTTCATACACAGCCACGAGTCATAGCATCAAGGCAGGTTTGGTAGTCACAAACAGGGGTAAAGGGGGGTTTGAGAATACATACGACCCACATAGTTAAGCAAAGACCTAGGAATTAGTAGTCATGCCCAGAAGTAGCTAACTAGACATAGTCACAGAATCAGACATAAAGAACAAACTCACATGCAAAGGGGATAGGGATTTGGGAGATCCATGATGGTAAACATATAACAAGTAAGCGAAGATTAGTGTAGACATGCTCAGAGACAAATAGAAGGGGAAATATATTGATCTCAAGGGGAGGGGAAGACATGCTAATAATGTAACCCTCAACTACAAGTTTCACAACAGAACCACAAATAGAAGCAAACTAGAAACAAGAGGAACTGAAACAATAAGAGAATCATATTGTTGTTGGAACTTTGAATTGAAACTAGGACACACCAGTAAAGAGGATAGTAAGTAGAGGGAAAGAATAAGAGAACACAAATGGTTAGCCTTGGCTTGCAGCCAGCTAACTTAGAGCAGTAGCAAGTAGAACAAGAGAGAGAGCAGAAATTTTTTAAGTATGAGAGATAGTTTTAAACCCAAGTGTTCGTGTGTTTGTATGGTAATGAGAGAGCATAAATATAGTTTGAAACTAGGTAGAATAATAAGGTAAGAATCAAAGTCAAGAAGTAATTATGGAACTAGGTATCAATTAGTATAAAATTAGTAGAAGTACTCCCTTAATTAAGAGAGTTAATTTCAAACAGTAAAGACAGATAAGGAAAGAGATCACATAAGACATGGAATATAACACATAAGGAAATAATTTTAGCATAGTGCAAGTATAGACCATGCAATTAAGATGAGGTGCATAATATTCCAATTAAGGAAATAACATAAGAGTCAGTTGACAACATAATCGACCATAAAATAAGGCAAGAAAAATGACAGAGAGGTTGAAAATCAGTATAGAATATCATAAGAGATTAGAATGATATTAATCATTGGGAATCAAGGATTATGATGGATAATAGTACTGATTTTAGGGGAAATTACCATAAATTTCTATTAACAAACAGAATAAACACACAATAGGCAAGAAGAGGTAAAATCAGAAACCCTAATAGCACAGTAGTGTAAAAATCACACAAAATCGGGGATCCGTATATAACATAGCGCTGATTAGAGGAGTTAACAGAATAAACATAGTATAGGCGGAAGAAGCAGAAATTAGAAACCCTAATGGGCATAGTAAGGTAAAAATCACACAAGACTCTGGGATCCATGAGAAACAAGCAAGCATATAGATTAGACGAACAAATCGTCAAATACAGACTAAGAACCCAGGGTTAAGACCAAGAACTGGGGTTTTCAACATAAATGAGTTGAAAAAGGAGAAAAAATACAGAATCAATCGAGATATGCAAAGGAAAAAGGTTTAAACACGAAGAATCAATTTAAACAGAGTGTATAAAGAGTTCTGAAAACCCTAACTTTTAAAAGAAAGTAAAACAACTCGCAATCGATAATTTTTGCAAAAGACGTTTGAGAATAGTGTAAAACATAGAAAGAAACAGACTCAAATCATTAAAAATAGCACAGATCTAAGAGATACAAACAAAAGTTAGGGTTTCAAAGGAAACTCAAATAGAAACGGAAGAACCTGCTATAAACTTTAAAGATCGTAACGAATGTAGTGTGTCTTTGCTCAAAATTACACCGGAGAAGCCATGAACAGCCAAAACAGTAACCCTAGATACAAGTTGGCATGGCCCAGGGCTCTTGAAGGCCACAGAGATGATGAGCAAGGCGATGGAGGAACCATTGAAGGCTTGGGGTTGAAAGGTGGTCACTGGAGAGGACCGGAGAAGGAGGCAGCGGTTGACGAGGGATTAGGGTTAGGTTGAGAGAAGAGAGGAGATGAGAGCATCTGAAGGCGGCGAGCTGTGAAGAATGGCTAGGGTTAGGGTGGTCTTATGAATTAAAAAAAGGAAAGGGGTCGTGTGGATTGTTGATCTAGGAGATCATTGATCGGGTAAATGGGTTCCGGGTTTGGGTAGGTGTTTATAGGGTCTGGATTGGGTTTGAAATTGGGCTGGGGAGTGGGTTCAATTTGGGCTACAATTGAAAGACAAATCTGGCTATAATTTAAATATCCAATTTTTCCTATTTAATTTATAATAAATAATAAGTAATTTATGAAAAATAATTTAATATGCCAAAATGATTTAAAATATATAATTGTCATTTAAAAATATAGGGACTAATTTTACGCACATAAAATGTAATTATACACTAAATGAGCTAACATTGCAATTATATGCAATTTAGCTTAAAATATCAAATGCAATTATAAAAATGCATAAAAAATATATTAACCATATTTTGGCATAATTATAGAGAATTAATGAATAAATCATCATAACAATAATTTGAAAAATAATTATTAGGGATTTTATGAATAAAACAGAAGAAAATAAATCAATTTAAATCCTTGAAATTATGGAAAAAATTATATAAACCTTGTGCATGCTTATATATGTATATATATTCTATTGAAGACATTTATGCATACTTAAAAGTATATGAAAAAATTTGGGTATCAACATGACCCACTCCTCGAGTCGAGGAACTGCATCTGGCATCCAAGCTACAACTGCATCGAGAAACACCGATAAAAAGGGAGGGTAAATGAAAAACACAATAAACAAATTTTTAGAGGCATAGCTATACTTACGCTTCATGTTCCATTTCTCGGGAAATGGCATATCCTCAGTCGGAATCAAGTCCAAGGTCTTCACTCAAACGAATCGGCCCATCCAGCTTCGGTCCCGATCCTCATCTATGCTCGAGAACGGGGCCCTGTTGGCCCGACTTGTAAGTTTTATTAGTCCCCTTCGATAGAGTCAGGGACTGTACAGACGTATGAGATGATCGAGTGTGAAGGGACACCTCTCGATTTTGCTTACAAAGAAGTGAAGGAGGATCACTATCCTCCAGAAAGAGGGGTAAATTTGAAAGAGGGTCACTTCTTACCTCTTGTAGAAGGCAATAATGATCGATTCTATAGGACTCAATGTGAAGGGCTAAGTATAAACACTTAAGAAACTCTCCATATGGGTAGTAATTGCTTCTTAAGGCACGGGCACCACCACATGTATATCTCGAGACCGGCTCATATAGATCCAATACCAAGGAAGTTTTTTCAATCATTAAATTGGCATTGGTCGACCACCCTCTGGGGAAGAACACTTCAGGGTGTGGCTCCGCCGCTGGTCCCTTGCCGGCCGGCCGTGACGAAGAAGCAATTTCTTTTTGTGGAACAGTTTTAGAAGTATTAAACCATTTTTCTCTTTTTCTTTGAATAAAGGAGAACGAGAAAAAGTTAAGAGGGAACTCTTAGTATTTAAAGATAAAGACAAGCGAAGGCTCTTACAAAAATCTCAGGTACAAATGCAAAGGCTTTTGAAGATGAGAATGGCTAAAAAGGGCAAAGATCTTTGAAAATGGAGAAGATCTGAAAGTAAAGCTTGAACAAGTGAAGAAGAGAGGAATATTTATATGTTTCAAACAGCGGTTCAAATTCGGTAATGGTCGACCAACACTAACACACATTTAATGCCTTGGGTACTAGACCGACGGGACATTTTAATGACCTTTTTGTCGCTTACGTCATGATCTATCGGAGCGAGGTTCAGAAATTCATATCATTTATCGTCATATTCTCGTCGAAAAACGAGGGGACTATCTGTATACGTTCTAAACTGGATTCGTCTATTGTTTGACCAATCGAAGCTGAAACAAGGCAGGTCAAAGCTCGAGCTCGGGTTATATCGAACCAATGTGAAAAATTAGATCAATAAGCTCGTGACCTAGAGATTGAATAGAATAGAGACCAAGCAAGATCAGGAAAACATACCGAGCCAAATAACGGGAAGTCGAAATATCTACAATCGATCGAGAACCACGACGGAAATCTCGACACATATCAAGAAGAGGCCTATTAATTAGCCAATCATGAATTTTTTTACCTTGTATAGAATTGTACCAAAATTAGAACACCCCCACTATATAAAGGGGTTCTGATCATTTGTAGGACACGTTGTAACAAGCACAAAGAAAGTAACATACTGATCATTTCTTGTTTTTATCATCTTGTTGTTCAGTTATAACACTGGTTGAGACATTTCTTGGCTTAAGGGTGATCAAACTCAGAGGCTAAGGCTGTTCAATTCTGTGGTTTACATTTATTTTTCTTATCGTTAATTTCAATATTAATCAGTCTTCTTAATTTGTATCAAGTTATATCACGTATCCTTAAAATCGCGTACAAATTCAAATGTTGTCCAATTTTAAGGGTAACATGTGTACTTGAGTATTTACCCCACTAATCACTTATTTAATATTGTACACTATATCATATATTATAAAAAAGGAAATTTTACCACCTATAGAATAGGTTAGTACCCTATTTATATTCTATAAATACCCTTTTAAAATATTACATTCTATAAATACCTTTTTTAGTTTATAGCAAAAAATTTAAATTTAGTTCCATCCTAAAATTAAGGCTTAATATATGCTACAAAATATTTTTCTATCTCATTTTTTTTTATTTTCTCTCACCTAATTAGCGTATATCTCCTCTCATCAGCTTTTCTCTCTCTTCTTCAATACACTTTTTCCTCTTCTCCCACAAACACACGTTCCATACACTTCAAAAACCCTCCTCCGCCATTATCGCCTATCCTTCTCCGCCATTATCACCCCACACGCCATTCTTCTTCGCAACTGTTGTCAAGCGTATTTTGACGGGCAAGTTGGTTCTCAAGTGTTTTTCAGAGCTTCACAGTTGTATTTTGGAAATCTTCTCCCCGTAGGTAATTTAACTACTTCGAAATTGCTTTTTCATTAGTTTGTTTCTATAAGTTTTTTTAGCGAATTTACACAATTTTCTGATATATTTTCCATTTGTATTGTTAATCACCAGGATTCTTTGAGTTTTCTCTCTAATGTCGGATGCAACGCCACTCAACAGACTACCCAGAGGTATACCAACCAAAATTCTCAATTTTGATGGGCCCTCTTTCTCGTTGCAACCGACTCAAGCGGAGAAAGATTTTGCAGGTTTATCAGCATCCAAAGTTGATGAAAGAAGAAGTAAATTACACAATGACAAGTTGAAAGAAGTCCAAGTTGATGAAGCTTCAAAAAAAAAACAAAAATCAAGTTGTCTCAAAGAGGAAAAAACCTATGAAAGATTCAAGAAACCAAAAGGTAATTGGTATTTGTTACATGTATTCTGTTGTATTCATATGTATCTTCTTGTATTTTTGTACCTTTTTGTATAGTGTATTCTGTTTCTTCTATAGTATGTTTATGTATTCATGTGTATTTGGTTGTTTCCAACAGTTCATATTAATGTAATTTTACCTGTATTCATATGTATTCATGTGTATTTAGCGTTTGCTAATGTATATTTGCGATAATTCAATTGTCCAGTTTGACCTCAAATATATTCATATGCATTCATATGTATTCAGGTGTATTCATCTTAAATATTTTGTATTATATCGGTATGTTACAAAGTATGTTAGCATATATTTAGCCTTGTCACTATATCTAGTTTTTTGTAAGTGTTTGTAGTTGTCTGACATGCATTTAGCCTTGTCACTGTATCATGTCTTACATGTATTCCAAAAAACCTTAATATGTATTTTTGCAATGTATTCATCTGTATTAACAGGTATCTTTCAATGTTCATTGCAGGGAATTGATTTGTTTGTGAAACACCAGCCAAAATTAGCACCCCATATTAGTAGTTACACTAACACTGATATAGTATCCCAGCTAAAAGATAAGCTTACTCCCGATCAGTTCCAACAATTCGGCAATACATGCTTTGGCTTATTTCTTCAAATTAAGCGATTTGATGTTCAACATCAACTCTTCAGATGCTTCATGGCTCGACAGTTAAACGGCACTCCAAACAATGTATTTGCAGTATACGTCAATGGTACTGAATTACATTTCACATTAAGGGAGTTTGCGCTTGTGACTGGCCTCAAATGTGTAGGTAAAGATGAAGATTTTGAGTTTAGTGAAACTCCTCCTAACCGGCTTATTGCGACTTATTTTGGAAGTGCTAATATTGTAAAGAAGAAACACTTGAGACAATGCTTCAATGACAAGGCATGGGGCCCCGACAATGATGAGGATGCTTTGAAGATATCTTTGTTGTATTTCATCCACACCTTTATATTTTCATCTGAGAAGAATAGTGCAACTATACCGAGGCTAGATTTTGACTTAGTAGAGAGTGGGCACTATTTTGAATATCATTGGGGTATTAAAGCATTTGAGCTATTGATAAACTCGATTAGCAAGAAGATGGATGCTTTGAAGAAGTATTACAGGATAGCTGGGATGCCCCTAGCTATGCAGGTGTGGTTTTATGAGTGATGTTCTTCTGTTGATTCCAAAATTGCAGTCCGAGTCTGTGACGTGGTCGCCAGAATACTCAATTGGAGAACCACCGGAAATCAGCCAACATTTTCTTATCTGACAAACGGCATGTTCAAAGACACCGGAAACACGGTAATATACAAATGTTATCAATATTCAGAAGATAATTGAACACAAATACATCTATAATTTGCATACATTTGCATTCAGTTAGAGGGGAAGCCTACTGTAATATACATTGAATTCATAAGCTTATATACATGAATACTTGCATACATGTTAATACATTTTAATACATTATAAATACAACAGAGTTAAATACACCTGAATATAACATTATACAGTTATGCATTAATATGTTTTTTGTAAGTCATATCTTATTTTTGTTCATAGATTGTGTTCAAGGACATCACTCCTCTAGATATAGAGCTTGCTGTTATTCAGATTTCTCAAGTGTGTGCCGATATTGAGAAAATACCTACTCCTGCGCATTCAGACAAATCGGGACAGGATACGGATGACTTTTATCCTACACCCAACCTTCAATCTAAGAAGAAACATGTTGAAAGTGTTGGTCCATCTTCATCACCGCCACATAAGAAGGTCGAGGAACAACCCAAGATTCCTACAAAAGAACCAGAATATCAGCCCAAAGTCCCTCCTGTTTGTGTTTCTGATATTGGACATAAACTTATGCATGACCATCAGCTCCCAGAAGGCCAAAATGAGGAAGTATCTTCTTTGAGGAAAGACCTAAAATCATTCAAAGAATACGTGAGTATTTACCCACCGATTAATCAATAAAGTTTGATAGCTATGTGTTTTAGTATTTTTCTAACTATTTTGTACTGTTAAGGTTGTTGGAGAGTTCAAGTCTCTAAGGACATTGATCAATGATAACTTCAAGATGCTTTCAGACCAACTTCAACAAAATCAGCAAACTGAACCCATAGTGAGACATGATGGTGGCATTGACACAGATGTCGGAGATAATAATGAGGTATAAAAGCAGTTATCATATTGAACATATGTATTTAGCTGTATTCATATATGTTTTAATCTAGCCATTTTACTAATGTATTTAACTGTTATACAGCTCTATATATATGTATTCTGACTTTTAAATCTTAACATATTGAGCATATTTTTTTAGATGAATTCATAATTGTGTTACACTTAATCTGTAATATCACTTTAAACTGCCGTATTTATTTTTATTTCAACTGTATTTACATGTATTCTGCTTGGTTAATCTGCATTTTCTGTAATGTATACTAGCTACTTATATGTATTTAATCTTTTTTCTAACATTAAGTTACCATGCTAACAATGATACATACAACTACCAGAAAACTACTTCAGAGGTACCATCCATCATACCATCTACCACAAACCAAGAGGATGTATCTAAAGAATTCTATGTTTCTCAATTTGAACTGGACGACAAGTTTCTACCCAGTCAAATTCCAGAAACTAGAATAGTTGTTCACGCCAGTGCAAAAAAAGATGAAGCCACACCAGTGCAACCTCAACGAAATAGGCGACCAAGTAGATGGAACTCTTCGCCTTATCAGTCTAACTTCGACTCAGGAGGTAAGTGATTTTACAAACGTAATANTCTTCGCCTTATCAGTCTAACTTCGACTCAAGAGGTAAGTGATTTTACAAACCTAATATTCAGCATTCATCGTGATTGAATCATTTATAGTAGTCCATAAACACAAATTCAATTTACAGCATGTTCCTCTGTAAAGTTGACACCCATATTTGAGAAAAGACACCCATTTGAGGAAGATCCAATAACGGGGCCACATCCTATGTTACTCATTCAAGAATATGACAAGTGGGTTCGTGAAGGTCTTCTAGCAAGACATGATCAGAAGTGAGTTTTCCCCCGTTCATTGTATTATTTTTTCATTTTTTAAGGTATGTACATAATGAGTTTTATATCATACTTATAGAGGTAATCTCGACGACCATTACAAGAAAAACAAGTCTATACTTCACATTCCATTGGATTTTGGAGTTGAATATAGAAACCCCATAAACTCAATGTTCAATGCTCATGTAAGTGATGATGATGAGCACCTTACACATACGGATTAGGCTAATGTTAAAATACTTGTAGATTTTTTAGAAAGATTTTATGTTGCTACAAATAAATTTTCTGGGCAATATTATCCTACTACTTCTAACTGTTTAGTTTATATTGCAGAACTTGCAAATTTGTTTGCTTATTTTTTAGAGGGTGTAGAAATTTATGAAGAAACTATTGATTCTATGGGAAATAAATTTAAAAAATATTTTTTTCCTATTCTCCCTATTTATGGTGTTGCTGCCTTGTTAAATCCTACTATGAAATTAGGAGGTCCTTAATATTGGTATCAATCTATTTATATTGGTTTAGCACTTGAAGATGAGGAGTTGTCTATAATTTTGGACGCACAAGCTTCAATTAAAATAAATTCTCTAACTATTTATAGTGCTTATCAAATTGCAATAGATAATGCTAGATCAAATGTTCCAACTCCTTCTTCTTCTAGTTCTCAATCATCTAAAAGAACTGCGAGAATAAGAGCACTTACTGCTTAGGCTGGGTTCAGGGGTTCTCAAGGTTGTGGCACTAGTGATTGTTCACAACTAAATGAGATCGAAGTTTATTTGTCACAGGGACTTGATGAAGTGAATCCCGACGGCTCATTTAATCTTTTGGAATGGTGAAAGAATAGAGAAAAATACTTTTCGATCCTTTCTAGGATGGCCCGAGACATTCTAACCATTCAAGCTTCAATAATGGCATCGGAGAGCGCTTTCAGTCAAGCAAGACTTCAACTCGGTCATTATAGAGAGTCTATGAGGGAGAGCTTGGAAAAATCAGTAGTATTCATAGATTGAATCCGTTCGGAACGAAGAAATTTTGGACTTGCTGAATCACAACAAGAGGTAGACGAAGCGTACGAAGAAATTCTAGCTGAACTTGCGGAGGATGCAGCTTCGCCCGGAAGCAGGATGAAGAGGCTTCTTTTCCGCCACCACCAACGGAAATTCCTCCGAACCTTGATGGATTTATGAAATTTGTAAGAGATACTATGTAAAATTAAAATGTAACTTGTATTTTGGCACATCTTGATTAGTTTCGTTTTCTCCTCAATGGTGGTATTAGCTCCTTATTGTGCTCATTCCATTGGGGGAGGGGGGACTAAGAAAGATTGGGCTATGTTTTGTTAATGTCATAATAATAAAAATTATAACGCATTCCTTTGAATATCTTTTTATAATATTTTATCTTTTAAATTTAAATTCAAATTTTTTAACTCACAACTATATAATATAATTTACAATAAAATTGCCTTAGATAAAAAAATTTAAAAACAAAAATAGGCCAGGCCCACTTATATATGTATATATATATATATAAGATATATATATAAGCTATATAATTTACAAAAAATTGCCTTAGATAATTTTTTTTTAAAAAAATAGGCCAGGCCCACTTAGATCCACTTAGGCCCACATAGGCCCGGGACTGGCCCACTTAGCCCTGGACCATTAGTTCGTGATCCCAGTCCTTGTCTGGTTACCTCCAAAAGCCCATGAAGCTCAGGACCGTTTAAGCCCAGCCTACAAAGCCCGAGCCCACATAGGTTCGGCCCACTTAGGACAGGCCCACGAGGCCCGTTTAAGGTGGCCCAGCCCGTTTGCCAGCCTTTGTTTGAAGCAATCGAAGGATATGATTGCTCCCATTTGTA